GTAACTTTAACAAGGAATATTAAACAGTATCTAAAATGGCCCTTATTTTCTGTATTGCCACAGAATAATTTGTTCTGTTATCAAGTATCCCCCACTGAGCCGTTYCACTGCTCTTTACCATCACCAGGCTGCTTTGGGAACCATTTCTRAACACTTCCCAAGCACAGCCTTTCTGCAAGCCCTCCCCAGACACACAGTCAATAAACAGGCAAAAAGTGGAATATTTTATTGAAATAAATTTGATTTTTTTTTAGAAGGGTTCCAGGTGAAATGAGTGTGTTCCACCGCTGCAGGGGTGTCCCCAGGACGCTGTGAAGCTCAGATGGCTGCCATCCTTCAGTTATCACAGTACTGTACCTTTACAAGAGACAGCATCAGCACTGTGATAACTGAGCCAGGGCAGCCTGGCAGTCATTGGAACCTCGGTGGCACTGCCGAGTCCTCGGTGTCCTCCTCCCTCCGTGTCCCAAAAACCCCACGTCACCCCACAGGTGAAAGCCTCAGGAGCCTTAACACAAGTGGCTCTGCAGCTGAGRTTCACTTCAGAAAATTACCCACATAATTAGTGTTCTTTTAATGACCACGGTGGCTCCTGCAGCGCAGCTCAGAGCGGCTTTAAGCAGCAGCTTCTTCTGGGCAAATACACCCACGCTGGATTGAACGGAGAAAGAGAAACCCACCCTTCCACGCCGGGGCAGCCCTTTCTCCCCCTTAAATCCGTCCAGGCAGCAGCAGTTGGCTCGTGCTCTGCAGTGTTGGGTGTCAGGGAGCAGCCAGGCAGTGGGGACAGTGGCAGGCAGCCAGGAAAAGCTGCTGGAGCCACTCTGCTCGGGACAGCGGGATCACCACGGGCACAACCCCGACGGTGGCACCGTGCCCTGAGCCTGCCAGGCTGCTGCTGCTGCCAGGAGCTGCGATTTTCCAGCCCATCCCACCCCTTCCCTGGGCTGTCTGGAGTTGGGTGTGTGTGTCTGCAGAGCCAGCAGGGCAGACCCTTCCCGTGCCCTCCCAGGAACTGCAGCTGCAGCGAGCCAAGAGGGGCCTCGGGGGGTCGGAGTTGGCATTTTTAGGTCATCAAATAAACATAGTAACATTGAAAATACACAATCCCACCGAGCAGTTCAATTATAAACTTCCATCAACCTATATTTACTCCCGTATTTTTCTTCCTTATAAACAGGCTCTGCCGAAAAAATCATGGCACTATTTCTCCACCCCCACTTTGTTGTATTTCCACAACTTCAACCTCCCTTGGTTTTTTTTTTCCCTAAAACCAGGCATTCCTGAAAACATCACAGAACTATTTCCACACCCTTCACGTTGCCTGAGGCAATCGGACACATCGAGTTCTGAAATGAGTTTAAAAAAAACCACAACGGTTTTATGTTGCCAAAGTTAATGTGTTACCAAGTTCCCAATAAAAGTCCATTTATGATGTTGATAGACTCGGGCAGCACAAGAAGCTTTCCTGTTTCCACCAGGAGGAAGCAGAAACTCCAAAAGTGTTTTTTTTTTAACACTCTAAATAACTTACCTGGCAAAGAGGAGGTGCTGAGATGCTCCAGAGGCTGTTTTTAAGAGAGAAATGGATTAACACTCGGCTGGACCCAGCCATAAAAACGGTGCCTTACAAGTTTGCAACTCAAGAGGGCAACGGAGAGGCAAACATGGAATATCGGAGGAGCAGCACGCAGGGGAAAAAAATATTTGTACATTTTAAAACAAACTCCAAACATACATTACATAAAAAGGGGACAGTCAACAGATTATGCAATGCTGACGTAAAGCAGCACAGATGACTTCAGCATGCATCCCCAAACTYGCAGATTTGCCACASTTTGTGGATTAATCATTAAGGAATYGGCTGTTGCTAGGAAAGCACAAGGAAAACTTGCTAAAAATATTAATGGATTGTGCCCGTGCAACGGTGGGTTTTGAAAGGGAGAGGAGCTGCAGGAGCAATGAGCCCTTTGCTCTCACTCTGAGGTGTTTTTACAGCACCATTGGTATTCCAGGTGAGGAATTCTACAGATTTCAGTGCAATGGCTTAAGTGTAGGATTGGGAATTCTACACTGCACAGGCTGAGGGGATGAGAGGAGAATCACTGTGTTACAATTCAAGCATGCTTTGATCACTCTATCAGGATTTTGCTCCAGCAGTGCCTTATCACGACATCAAACGAGGAAGGTGAGCAATTCCTCCCCAGCACCCTCTGGCACAGCAACTGTTGGAGTTACAGCCCTATTCCATTTTCTCTGGAGGATCCAGCTCTTCACCCAATACAAATACAGTTTGTCTTGCATCTCACACACACATACACAGATTTTTACTTTGCTTCAGCCAGGCTAAAGCTACACAGACCTGATGCAGAAAGCTCAAGTAGGTTCTCCATTTATCTGGAAAAAAACATCTTTTTTTTTTTTTTAGCAAAGCCCACATTAGTTTTGGAGCCCGGCACACATTTTTGTTCTTGTTATTGCAAAGGCCTTGCATATTTCCAT